AAGTCCTTTAATGCCAGCATATTGTCATAAGCCGTCTGAACAATTTCATCTGTTAATATTCATATTGTAAATAACACTTCTTCAGATGTTTCTGTCTTTCCTCCTCTGCTTGAACATACCTTTTCGTCGTTGTACACATCATCCGGATTCAAGGTCGAATTTTGAATTGAAAAGCCGACATTTCGTGGTGATTCCAAGAATAACATATTAGCTGCTTTGTTCCATGAGTAAACATTCTCGAAAAGGGTGACTCCGTCCGGATTCGGATGGAATGGGCCGAGCTCACTGAGAAGTCCCATCAGTGAAGAACATCCTGGGCCTCCATTCAGCCAAAGAACAAGCGGATCAGTTCGGGGATTAGTTTGGGACTCGAGCAGCCTGCAAAAGAGTGCAGTCTGAGACGGATAATATCCGTGATGCTAAACCTTACCAGTAGTGCAAGTAATTACCAGTGACACCATTGAGGTAACCAGAGTACTGCTTGAAATTCAACTCGTAAGTCACACCAGGTAGCGTCCACACCCGATCTGCCTGTTTTCTTGTAACTAAAATAAGAAGTTGAACAGTAACACCTCAGGAAATAAAAAATCAAAGTCTACATGATGGCTGCGGAGGGGCCAAAAATTGTGGAAGTAATGGCTGCGGATTCAGCGAATATGGTATTGAGTTATTGTAGTTTCCAGTATTCAAGAAGTTGTAGAACATTTGCAAGGCTGGTCCGGGTCTATCAGTGGGAACAAAATGACCACCTCCCTTAGAAATAACTTGAATTTGTATAACATCGATGCTGGTAGCAGCTACGTCGATACAGTTTACCTTTACGGTCAGCAAATCTAGTGAGATTTGATTGTAGTTCCAAGACTTCACATAACCTCCAAGTTGGGGCAGAAATGAACCCTTGGTATAATTCCACGCGTAACGATCCGAGAGGATTGTGAACTAAAGGCCATTTCGCTTTCAAACCACGCTAATCAGTAAAAAGGTGACCTCACATTGTACAAACTAGCCAAATTCTCAATAAACCATTCATCACCAAGGAAATTACAAGCCATATCCACAT